CAGTGTATCTACTTGATTTAAAAAGTCCTGCTTCTTTTTTGTTTTCTCTTTCAGAATATAAAAACCATTCACAAAAATGTCACCAAATGCTTTAAAATGGTCCTGATATTTGAGCTTACAAGTTAAGATTACTGTAGTTTTATTAAATATTAATAAATCTTAGATATTAATCTCCTGGATTTAGAGCTGGATAAGATTATAGATCAAATGTTAATGTTACATGCATTTGTTAGACTCTACAAAATAATATTGTCTGTGTGTTTCAATAAACACACTGTGCTAAGCCAGTAAATATAAACTTGACCTCTTGTCTGCCACACTGATTTAGAGTAAACTTTTTCTGTTAAAGAATATTGCTCATTTTTAATGTGACAGCTATAAGCCTTACCATAATGAGGGATTAGCCTCCTTATGCCAGAAACAACTAAATATACAGACAATGCTATGACAGAGTTTAATTTGACCAGGATATACAAGGGCATAAAGAAGTAAATAGGTAAAAGGTCATAGACAAAGTGATTAATATTAATACATTTGTAAAGATGAGAAGCCTCTGTACATCTTTCTCCTTTTATTGATTTCATCTTGGACAGTCAACAGGATGCAAAGTGCAGAGCCTAACTTACATAGAAGCTCCTTGGAAAGACACATAGCAGCTGCTCAAGATTCCTAAGAGCTGAGCCTGCTTAGCAGCCTTCTGCTTCAGAGACTGATGGAGCCAATAATGCCCCAGGGTGTTGTTCAGCCTTTCAGAGGGGCCTCAACAGGCTGGAGAGATGGGCAAAGAGAACCATCCTGAAATCCTACAGAGGCAAGCACAGGCTGGAGGCTGACCTGCAGGAAAGCAGCTCTGCAGAGAAGGAGCTGGGAGTCCTTGTGGACAACAACATGCCCATAAGGCAGCAGAGTGTCCTTGTGACCAAAAAAGAGAGCATTGTTGCCAGAAGGCTGAGGGAGGGGATCCTGTCCCTCTACTCAGCCCTGGTGAGGCACATCAGGAGTGCAATGTCCAGTTCTGGGCTCCTCAGGGCAAGAGAGACATGGGGCTCATGGAGCAGATCCAGTGGATGGCAAGAGAGACGATTAAGGGATTGGAGCATCTCTGTTGTGAGGAAAGGCTGAGGGAGCTGAGCCTGCTCAGCCTCGAGAACAGACATCTGGGAGGGGCTTCATCAGTATCTATGAGTACCTGCACAAAGGGTCTCAGAGGATGGATCCAGGCTCTTTATGGTGCCAAGCAACATGTCAAGAGGCAAAGGACAGAAACTCTTTCACAGGAAGTTCCACCTAAATCTGAGAAGGAACTTCTTTACAGTGTGGGTGACTGAGCACCAGCACAGATTGCCCAGAAAAGCTGTGGATTCTCCCTCACTGGAGATATTCAGGAACTATCTGGACACAAGCCTGTGCCGTGTGCTCTAGAATGACCCTGCTTTAGCAGTGAAGTGGGACCAGATGCCCCATTGTGGTCCTCTTCCAACCTGACCCATTCTGTGATTCTGGATGGTCAACACTATTACAATTAGTTGTTAGGCCAATGAGTGGATACCATCAAATAGACCTTTCAGCTTGCTATCTTTATATGATTACATGTTTCAGGTTCAATTTGAACATTTTTATATCTAGTAAAATCAAGTATCTACAGAATTAAAAATTGATTTGTACTTTTGCATTATACTTTTATGTGAAGAAGCAGTAGGGAACCAGCAGCCATTGTGCTGAATTTATAGACAAGAAATGGTCTTTTTCTTCTTATGTGAACTAGTGGATTCAGCTGTAGCCTGGAGCTTCACATTTCACATTCATTGTAAATGATTGCTGTTTTAAACCATTGGTTATGGTTTATTTATAGAATAATACATAGTTCACAATTAAATGCCAAGTTATAATTGAATCAAAGGATTCTGCTGATGCCTTGACTCACAAGGGTGCAGCTCAAGAGCTTTAGAAAGGGCAGCAGAATCTGAATCTAAATTACAGCCCCCAGTATTCAGTCTGGGATCACACATTATAATGTGTAATAGGGCTAAAAGGATTATTATAATACTGCAGTAAATAAAAAGAAAATGTATCAAACAGCAGAATTCAGGATGCTTGCAGAGGCATTCAGTTTGTGATGTGGGAGGCTAAAGATTATACAGCATAGAAATAAAGCTAGAGGAAAAGCATTTCATAAACACACTTATGTTCTTAAAAATATTCTGAAGTTATTCTTAAATAAAAGGAAAATCTATGTTTCACAGTCAGTGAATGCATAATGCTCTCCAACATGGGAATAACTGGTTGATTCCAGGTGCCACATAGCCATTTTCATAGCCATAATAGGGCAATAACTTTGCTAAAGAAAAAAAAATACATACTCACATCTTTGATGTGTTTTTGAAAAAGTTTTCAAACATTAAAAGATAAATGTAGCTAACCAGAAGAAAAATAATAAAAAACCTCTTGCATTTCTTTCTAGTACAAATTGTCTCATGAAAATAGTTCACAGATCCAATTCACAAAGACAACGTTAATTTCGTTGTGGAGGAAACCTGACTGATAAGGCATTCAATTCTTAGGCTAAAATGAAGATTATTTTTTAACACAGATACTTTGTCGTTTTAAAATGTGTTTTCTTAAAAAACTTTTAAAGATTTTTTGTTTATACTGTCTGCTAATTTATGGTTTATCTGTTGGGAGGAAAAGCAATCAACATTTTGTTGTGTAGATATTTAATCCATTGGATCTTTACCCTGGTTCCTCACACCAGGTTGTATTTAGTCCAGCAATTCCCTTACGAGGCCACAGTAACTTTGCAGAACAGCTAATGCTGTGGTGCCTGTCATGTGCCTTCCAAAGTGTTACTGCATTTTCCTCTAACCCTCTAACTGGAAGAGATTAAACAGTGGACTATAAAGGCATTGGTCAGACCTCAGGACAGAATTTCTCTGTGGATTTAGGCTACAGTTCATTTCAGATCTTACTGAAATTGCAAGCATTGAAGACTTTGAACTTTGTCAGATGTATATTTATTGAACAGTTCATTTTGAAAGAGTGGAGAAGGGTTGGTAATTTGTTTTCTGATAATTTTCAATCTAACATCTATGTAGAAAATAATATGCAAAGCCTTATCACATAGAGAAAATATTTATTTTTAATAAGAAGTTCAGAAAAGTCAGATTTTCACTGGCATTTTTTTACTACTAAACATTTAATACTGAATTGAACTCCTGTTCTGAATTATACATAATATAGGCATTCTATTTTGTATTCCCATTGTCAAAGTCCAACTGAAGTCCTAGGACACTATTTCCAAAACTACCTTTCCAACAATGTCTAGTAAATACTGAAAAAAACCAAGAAGTCATTCAGTTAAATCAGTGTTGATATAGAGGAAAAACCTGGTGGATCCACAGATAAAATATTTATATGAAAAGGTGTATGATACAAAACAAAGAGAATATAGAAACTATCTCTTCTTAAAGAATAATGGGAGACTAAGGAAACGTGACAGTCCTTCTGTTGGCTTCTTTTTTAATGTTAATTTTAAGTTAATTTTTGCTTTTCCCCTCTGGCAATATTATGAAGGGAAAGAACAAAGAAATACATTCCATTTGTAAAATTTATGTTAATAAATTTAGGAAACTCAGTAGATTTGGCCAGGTAGGGATTTGTGAAGGGAAAACAAGACAGGTTACAGGGAGCTCTACACTCAAAAATACCCACAGAAAGGACAATGGTGAAGCAGGACAATGTTTAAAGAGGATAAGATTTTTTACTTCTATCTCAGCAATGTTAGGAAACAGTAAGAGAGGTGGTATGTAAAGATGAGAGACTGGGGAAGAGCTTACTTTTGGAGAAGCTCAAAAATAAGGGGGAGCATGTAGTTTATAAATATTTGAGACTCTAAATTAGGAAAACACAGTGCTTTAATTATGCTGGAAAGGTACTTGCATCAATAATAAATGTTATTAAAATAGGCTTTTGATGCAGTATATTGGCCAAGACTTTCCTGTCTGCATTGTAATGAAGAGTGTGCATTCCAGGGAACTATCTGTCACAGATATGAATGTTGGTTCTGTTTGGTTTTTCTTATGTTGGATAGTATGCAAAATATCTGGAAACATTTGGTAGAGAATACAAAATACAAACACAAAAAGCAAAACATTTCTAAAGATCTCCGTTCTCAATGAGATATTTACATTATGGATTTCCAAAAATGCTGTAATGTACCAAGCCCCTCTGAGAACAATTTGAAAATCTATAAATTTCTCCAAAGTGCCAAGTAAAAATCTGAGAGCTCATGATAGCCTTCAACAAGTTTTTTGATTTTTTTTTTCAATGTTCTATCATTTTATGATCTGAGAATGAAAGGATTCCCATACGAGCAATGCTTCATTCATTTCTGCAATACAAAGACTGCACCCCAACAAGTGACCCCATTTTGAATGGTTTACACATGAAGAATCTTTACCAAAATCTTTTTATGTCAACCACTTATCACTGATACCTGAAACAAGACACTAATGAAACAGGAGAGAACATATGATGGAAGTACTCTGTCTCTCTTAGATAGATAGTAGAAGATTAAGGAGTTACACCACAGAAAGAGGGAATTTGTTAAACCTCTTAATCATGGTTAAATGATGCATTAATTCAATTTAATCCAAACTTCTCTGTCTTATTTTGACAGATTAATCCAAATTAATTTTTTTACCAGTATCATTTAATCGACTCTTCCATCCAAGCTTTTTCTTTGACTCTTAATTTGCAAGTAATTCTGATCTGTATGAATTTAACCAAGTGTTTTTCAGTGTGAATGAAACTTACGGATTCAAATATTTGTAAAAAAGGAAGTTAATATTAATAGTTGAACAGGGTAAACCAAAATTACTTCAACAAAGGCAAATGCAGGACACTTTCTGTGTTGTTTACCCTGCTGCTGAATAAACCCTCTTCACATTGTTTGTGTTATGCTGGGCAGAGCTGTAGAACATTTCTCTGCTGGCTGGACTTACCTCCCCTTCTGTGGACTGTAAGTGCAGTTCTTTCCTACAGGTAGCCTTTAAGTCTCCTGCAGCTGCGTTGACTTGCACTCCCCTGGGTGCTTCCATCACCAAAGATCTAGTAGGAGATTCAAGTCTGAAAGCCAAAAACAATCACTGAGAAAAAAAGCACTGAACTGAACCACCAAAAACTTCCCAGCCTCAAAACTCACGATGCAGGTAGATATTAAGATATTTTGAAAGGTAACAAGGGAAAACCAGATTCTACATGTGATTCTATGACTGTCTTTTGTGACAGAGAGAAAGAAGAAAGTTAAGCATTTAAGGATTTACTGATATAAACTTATTTATTTAGTGATGCTTTCTGGCACTAGCACTTAATGCATCCAACTGTACTGATACTGAAATATAGGTACTTAAGAATCTTCACATCTCTGTTAATGCTTCTGTAATTACAGTTTAATGCTACAATCTTCTTAGTGACAGATGAAAAATGCTTAACAAAATAAAGAGAAAACAAAACCTTTAAATGTTTTAAATTATGTGAAACTGTTTAAAATTACGTTGCCTGGATAGACTCATTCATGTTCTGGGTATGTTTAGCAGCTTCCTGTATGAAGAGAGGGAAAGAATATGTTATGTTTCATTATTATCATAATAATTATTATTATGATAATCAGTTATGTTGCTATTGTTTGGGGGGTGTTGCATGTTTTGTTTTTTTTTGTTCTCCAGAATACTCATTATGCTCATATAACCCTGTTAGAGTAGGGTTAAGACACACATCGCTACTTCTTGGTATCTTTACTCAAAGCAATTCTTTTTCTACTGTCAGTCTTTCTTCTTCCCTATGCTCAAGATCCTTCATCAGCCTTGATGCAGAAGTATGATACTTTCTTAGCTGTGCTTTCTCATAGTATTGTAGAGGTTTCTCTTGAAAGGGAAATATTAATGCAAAGATTTTTTAGAAAACATGCTCACGTGCTGAATAGGGAAAATGACAGGATGAAAACTGTATTGAAGTAGGAAACAGTAATTCAGATTCTAATTCTGTTGAGTTGTAGACTTATTGCATAGCACTGTGAGGGGGAGAGACAAAATTTTTGATCTATTTATAACTTAGTATTATAATGGCAGGACACAATTCCACTTTAACTGAACAAGGGCTTTTCCTAAGATGAAATATGTTAATGACAAAAATGTCTAGACTGAGCAGCTTGAAAGAAAGACTGTATTTCCCTCTTCAGCAAAGTATTAGGGTCATAGCTATCCAAAAATATAATGAGGTACTAGATGTATAATGGAGAGAGAAGTTTGACAGAGAATTTGGTGGAGAAAAGCCAGATGAAGTCTGTCAAGAAATGGAACAAGAGCATTTCAAAGTATTTCAACTATTGCATTTTTGAAGTACAGAGAACTGTACTGGATTACCATTTTAAAACCAAAGTGCCACATTTACATGCAAAGAAAGTCACTGAGATAGTTTCTGTGAAACATTTCTGTTTGTTGCATGTCACTGACACTCAACAGGGAAAGGAAGAAGAGAAATGAAAAAAAAAATAAAAAGAAAAGCATTTATTCAGCAAACAAAATGAAGCTATTAAAAGCAGGTATCCAGATAGATAAAAATACAATTTATAGATACTGATATAAAAAAAAAAAAGAAAAAAATACATGGGATACATATAGATAGGATCAATAGATGAATATCTATGTCTGCTGCTGCTTGGCTATTTTTTCTTTTTTTGATGCTTTGTAAGGAGAAGTTGATAGAAGGTTCTGCAGTTCTTTGTACTGAGGAAGAATCTAAATATCATGAATTATTTAATGACATACACAAGTGCTTTTCAGGTGGTGGTTTGTGAACTGTTGATGGCTACAGGTCAGCAGAAAAAGAACTTCCAAAATATTCTATGAATTATGTAAATTATAAAGTTCAGAAATGAGGTTTCTGAGAGTATTCCATTGCCCTAATGAGGTTTTACCTTGAAGTTAAAAGGAAACTGAATGATATAAATGTTAAATAATTTTATTCTTCCATTCCATATTTTTCAGCAGCTTATCACTGTGATTTATAACCTACTTTACAGGAATATTAACATTTCTCCTTGGTTTCAGATGCCATAATCATAAAGACAAAAGTGTTAGCTACATTTATTGCATTGAATTCACGTCTTAGCCAAGTTACAAATATTTCTGGTTTCATAACATCCAAATCCCTCAGACCTAACTAAAACTTTTTAGCATGTGGACATTTAAAATCTGTTTAGGAACATCAACCAAGAAACTGTGGTTTTCTTGGAAGACTAAACTTTTACCTTTTAAAAAGAAAGAACTTTTTGCCAGTATAGCTTAGAGTTGTTTAGCCTAGTTTCATCACAGCTTTTCATGAAGTACATTAGCATAAATAACTATATGTTTGTCTAAAAAGAAGATATTTGGGCAATTAATTTCTCAACTTGAAAAGTTGATAATATCAGCCTTCTCCACACCTTGGAGAAGAATTTGTTTTTTTAGACTATAGAGATTCTTAGCAGTCTTTGGAAATCAAATAATGTGGTAGAAATGTCAAGGAATGACTGATGAGCATCAAAGTAGATTTTAAAACCCCACCCAACTATTAGTAAAATTGATTGCCTAAATCTGTTTTACAGTTCTATTTTAGTTTTCTTATTGTTATCCTTTGGCTGTTCTGCATCTGAAAAGAGACTGCAGCATACCATTGCAAATGCAAAAGATTATAGATTATTTCCTCAATGTTTTGAGATAAATTAGGTTTTATATGCAGCTTCTTTATAATATTTTTTCTTTTCCGTATTTCTGATATCTTTAATCTCTACTATAGACTCATTGTAACACTACACATTATAATGCTCATCCCTCCAAGGAAAAGTGTATTATTATAATAGCGTGTGGAGAATTTGCTTTCCTTTCAGATTTACTGATGGCCCGTCACAGTGGCATTATGAGTGACTCCTAGTCATAGAATTAATTTTTCTTTCCCAAACAAAAATCTGCTTTGATGGAGAAGGTAACTAGTGCTATTATTAGATAGAAAACACAAAACTGTCGTGAAGACTAAAAGGCTTTTAAAAAGAGATTTTAAATAACATAATTGGTCAATTTGCTATATGTGACGAAACAAGATGGTCTATCCACAGCAGAGAAGGGCTTTTCTTTTTTAATTATCAGTAGTTAACTTGTCAAAAAAAGATAAATTTCATAAGATCAAAGCTGTATGAATTTGAGCTGAAATAATGAAAGAATTACTGCTAGAAAAGGGAAACTTAAAATATCTTTAATATGTTCTTTTGAAGGTATTAAAATATTTCTCATCAGAAATGCACAAACATTTTTTCTTCATTTTGTATTTTCTGTTTACAAGCTGACCTAGATTTTATTAGAAAAAAATAATTTAAAGTATGAACAAAAATAAAAGGTTTCCTTTTGGGTTTTAAGCAATATTTTAGATTTATTGCCTGTATATCCCTTATACTCACATGAGATATAATTTATCTATGTTAATTTTTTTCTGTTGGCTAGCAGAAAGTATTTCTTAAAATAGAAGGAAATAGAAGATTCCCCTATGCAGAAGAGAATAATTTATTTGCTTTGTATCTATTTAAGCCATATATCTAACCCATGCTACTTACTAAAACAGCTGATATAAACCTCTACCAGTTTAGAATTCAAATTCAATTCAGAACTGTGAATTAAAGATATGTCAGCTAGAGATCTCACATGTAGAACAGGTACTCATTTCCCCTTTATTGACATCTTTATATTTGGGGCTCAAGAAATCAGTACTTCCCAGTATTTAACTTTTTATACATGTTAGGCTTGCCAGCATGTTGTGGTTTTTTTTTTCCAGTGAGTACAGGAACCCTGCTAGGGAAAAAAAACCCACAAAACTGCATATATAAAACCAATGGAAAGTCTACACATTTACTTGGTAAGACTTTAGTAGATTTCCATAGATTTAAATAATTGTGCCATTGATCTTGCTACCTGTAGGTCAAGTTGTGGCAGACTGCAACTGTGGGTGGGTAAGACATGCAAAGAGGAGAAGGAAGGCAAATGGATGTGCCAAATCTCTCTATTCCTCTTCCATCTCTTTTATTGTAAACAAGTACCCTCGACCACAAAGCCTCAGAAAATGCAGGATCTTCCTCTCACATGAGTGAAAGGATTTTGTTCCAAATTAGAGTTAAGAATTTTTTTAAAAATCATTTTGAAAATGTTCTTTCCCAGAAAACTTCAACAATTCAAAATATGCATTTTTTCCAATTTCTATTATTATGAAAAGAAGACTTGGCTGTCCTGATCCTAAAAGAAAATTATTTCTTGAGTACCCCAATGAGACCAAGTGTCCTTAAAAGAGTCCAATGAACACTTATGGTGACAGAGAAGATTAGGCTTTCCACTCAGTCCTTTTCTTGGGTCAGGTTGCAACACAGAGAATAGTCAGCGACTTTTATGATCATGGCAACAAAAAACCTTTTTAGAGGTTTTTATTAAGATATTGTAACTATTCAAACAGTGGATTCCTGAACAGGTACATTTGACATCACAGTAGCAATCATATGAAAATAAAATTATTATTCAATCATTCCAACCTTATACTATTTACAAGGTTATACATGCACATTTTACCATATATATATATATATGTAATTAAAAATATTTTGATACATTTGCATGTATCAAGATGCACACTTCAAGATGCATATGAATAACTGCCAGAATATTTCTATTTCTTGAACCTGGTTGTATTCTGATGCTTTTAACAAATCACTTCTATTTTCAGGATTTTTTTATTATTATTATTATTATTATTGAAAAGAAGGAGTAAATTAGAAGGCCTCAACAATCTTAATATTGTTTACTGATCAGCTTTTTTTGTTAAGAAGCAAAATTCTTATATATTCATCAGAAACTTTTATTTATGTGAAAACTTAATCTTGGGCATGATTTGTCTCTAGTTTTTTGACAACACACACAACTTTTAAGTAACATAGAGTTAGATAAGTGTTTTTGAAATTAGTACTGGCCTGAACCAGTAAATATTGACCTTTTTGTGCTCCCACTTTCCAACTGTGCAACTCATGGATTATAAATTTAAACAAAGAGGAAACT